AGGATGATCTATACCATTACCTTAGTTTTGCATCTAAAAGTACAGCAACATGGTTGTAATGACAGCTCTCAGCCACCAGAAGTTACAGCTAAGATCATATACTGGGTCCCTGTGGTGGACTTGGAGTTAATATTCTTCCTAGTAGCTGGTATGGGGCTTTGTTTTGGATTTGCACTCAAACAGTGTTTATCATCCTGGCATGATTTGGGTTAAAAGGGACTTTAAGGATCATCTAATTCCAACCTCCTATCATCAGCAGGGACACCTCCCACTAGACCAGCTTGCTCAGAGCCCCAACCAACCTGGGCTTGAACACTTCCAGGGGAATTGAACAGCTTCTCTGGGCAACCTGTTCCTGTGAATACCAAGTTCATTTTGTTGTTGCTGAGCTGCGCTCACACAGAGCCAAAGCTTCTACTGCTCCTCACCAACCCCACCAGCGAGGGGGATGAAAGTGTACAAGGAGATAGGAGGGGACACAGGCAGGACAGCTGACCCCAAATGACCCGAGGGATATCCAGACTACATGATCAGCATGTAAAGCTGGGGCAAGAAGAAAGAGTGGAACATTGGTAACCATGGCGTTTGTCTTCCCAAGCCATCACCTTACACATGACGGAGCCCTGCTGCCCTGGAGATGGCTGAACACCTGCCTGCCTATGGCAAGTGGTGAACAAGTTCCTCATTTTGCTTTCCCTTTTCCTGCTGCCTGTCTCAGCCCACTGGTTTCCTAACTTTTATCCTTCCGATTCTGTCCCTCATCCCATCATGGGGACAGTGAGTGAGTGGCTGCACAGGGCTGAGTTGCCAACTGGGGTTAAACCACAGCAGTTGCTTTTTAATAAAGCCTATAAGAAACAATTTACTTTCAGAGGCATATCAACTAGCAAATCTTGTGAGTTAACACTGCCACCATCTTGGCAGACACTCAACTTTAACCCTTTTCTAAGACATTCAAGACTGTCAACACAAGTCACAACATTGTACTTAAAGCAAGAATAAGCACCCATAAAGGCAGGATAATTATTCTTCATAAAATCTTCAGCAGACAACTATAGGTCATATTATTTTTTTTCAATGGTTACAACTTTTAAATGAGCCACCAAGCAGAAAAATTAAGCTATTTTATCAAAGAGCTTTTGTAAGTAGCAGACTATTTCCAGATCTCTCAGTTTATCCCATTATTCAATAGCAATGGGTGAAATCAACACCATACATTCTTATTTTCCCAATCAAGTATGTTTGACATTACTCACTAAATCCCAACCTGTGTACAGCAGGTTAAAGCATGCTACTAATATGGGTTAATTTGCAATTAGTCAGACCAGTATTGAAAACTATTCATACCTGAGCACTGCTATCCTTACTATTTGTCTTGAAATTCTCAGCTAAGGAGAGGTAATACATCAAAGTGTTGTCTGTGTGATTACAAAAATCTAAAAACCCCCTAAGAAATAACTGATAGCTTCCTAGCTGTCAGCAACTGCTCAGCATCCCTTCCTGTACGGAAAGGTTATACCTTGCTTCCTTAATAATGAGCAAGTACTTTGTTCTAATTGTTAGCAGGAAAGAAAATATGACTGTTATACAACTACTGAACAACATCCAAAGTTAAGCTCCTTGTTCTCCTTGGGGCTCCTAATGCCAAGGAAGTAACTTCTGCTGTCATCTCCCAAGAGTAACTCTTCAGACAAGACAATATAGGCCATGCTTAAAAAAGACCTAAACAACCAACCACAAACAACAACACCCACAAAAAACCCCCGCATTTTTAAACTGCTGAGTATCTAAACTTTTTTTATCAAAAAAGTTTTAAAGATAATTAAGAAAACCCTCAAACTACTGATTCCTTTCCTTGATTGCAAGATTAATATGAAGAGGAGTTAAAAATAAGTGTTATGTCAGTTGAGATTTAATTTCTAAAAATTCAGGAGAAAACCCCCAACACTATGAGGTTCTGTAGCTATTTCCCTAGATTTTATTATGTCACTGCAAATACACTGTCAAGCAATGCTAGTATCAAAAGCAAAACTAACTGTACATTACAAACTGAAATCAAAATCCTTTTGCATTACAAGGAAAACTGCATACAATTGTAAATAACAAATGTTCAGAAATAAAAGAACCCCTTCAGTTTTCCATCAGTGTTTAGCAACTTTATAACTTGTACCCTTACAAGCACCACGTTGAGGGCTACTTGAAGTAAAAATCATGTAGAGAAATCTAGTCACTGCAGCCATTTTCCCAAAAATACACCAGGTAATAGTGTGCACCACAGACCAAGACTACAGACCAAGCCAAATGAGTTGGTTTTATCAAAGGGAAAGATATCCAAGACACCCACCAATTATCAGACTTTCTTTCTTAGAGACAATAATTATCTCTACAATTACATCAGCTACACCAAGCACAAGCAAAGAACCCCACTACTTCACACATTACATTTTCAGAAGGTGCATCTGCTCCCAATTGAGGGGGCTGTTCTAAAGCAGGGAGAATGTCCCTTGCCAAACAGGAAGGGCGATATAAAGTTTAAAAATTCGACAAGTATCAAATCAACCCATAAAGCAAACTGTAACACAAGTCATTTGAAATCTTTTTCGAAAAGAGTCATCCAGTAAACACCGCCCTGTTGACAACCCCCATCATGCAATTAAAACTCATCAGAAATTATAGTGTTCGGGTACCTTTTAATAAAATGAATATTTTTAAAACACAGAGCACTATCTCACCTTTTCAGTTTTAATTTATTCTGCAATTCACACAACTAAACTACTCTTACATATCCATTCACTTTGTGCCACACAGTAAGAGCATTAGTTTTCTTTGCAGACACCACTTTAAAAATGACTGTTTTCACTAAAAATTCAAACTTTTAAACGTGTTGGTGTTTTTATTAATGAGTTTTGCAGCAGTTTAACAGAACAACGTTTTTTCTAAACAGTTTCTCAAGACTGAAACAGTCCTTTATATAGAATAAGAGGTATAGGAGTGGTGGGGAATTGAATCTAAATATGTTTTCCACAGAATTTTGTAGATTTCAGCTGTCTCTTTCATGTTGACAGACAACATGAGGAGAAAACACATAAATCATGTTTCATTCTGTTTCAGCAGTGGCTGTTGTGAATTCACAGACAGGACACCTGCACTTAACAAAATACAACTTCCTTTATATGAGGAAACACCTACACGCCGATTTAATCACATACACACACACACACACACACCCCTCTTCCCCTCCCAGTCAGGGTCGGCTTGATAGAGAAGGCGAGAGCGAGCGCGTTTTGGGGAAAAAGCAGGGGCTTTCGGACCAAAAGCAGCCCTGAGCCGGGATTCTCCAGCAGCAGGAAGTTTCCAAGGGGCCTTGCCGAGCATGCGCCATGAGCTGCTCGGGCTCCCTATGTGGCAAGAGTGCAGAGGCAACAACCAAACGAATAACAGAGACAAGAGATCAAGAGCAACAAGCTCCCTCCCCTCAGTATTCCTGCGGCCGCCTCCACACAGCCCTCCTTCCCCAGGCTGCTCTCTTGGCCCGGGCCCTCCCGCATCCATCGCGGGCAGCTGGGATTAGAGAGTCTGGCAACCAAACCTGCTACTGGAGGGGGAGGAGAGGAGAGCGAGAGCAGCTCGAAGCAAACAGCGGAGTGCATAACCTATCCCTCCACCTCGCACGTCTCAGGTGGCGGCGGGGGAGCAGCAGCGAGCAGCCACAGCTTGTTCCCCCCGCAACTGGAAGAGGGGATGGGGGAGGAGGAAGGGGAAGAAAAGAGGGATGGAGGTGGCACACAATGGCTGTCTGTGTTTGTGGGGAGGAGACGGCCCACAACAGCAGCCGTGGGGGGGGCTCAGGGCTTCTCCGTGACACCCATTCCTCATCCCAAATAAACGGAGGTGTGGGGGGGGAGGGTCACTGGGGATCGGGACATTCCCGTGTGTTTCTATATGTGTGTGCGTATGTTCCCTTCTTGTTTCGGGGGAGAGGTAAAAAACGAACAGAGATATAGGGGGACGGGGGGTGGGGAAGAGGCTGTAAAGCGCCCCCCAAGCTGTGGGGAAGGGAGGAGGTGGTAGTGACACCGGCTACCAGCGCCAAGCTGAACGAAAATAGTTATTTCGTCTTATCCCTGTTTTCTGCAAGGAGTCCCACCCGCACAGAGCTCGGGAACGAACCGAGGGAAAGGGAGGGGGAAGGGAGGGTCGGAGGGGGGTCACAGGCGGCACTGAAAGGAAGGAGAGGGGAGGGGGAAGTCCTCTATAGACAGCTCTCCCACCCAATATACACACACAAACAGCTACTCCCC